GAACAAAATATTAGGTTATCAAAAGCCGTATGTCAGTTTTTCAACTACATGAGACCGTTTTAATGAGCTAAACACCTAGGAGACATTTACAGAAGAATTATGCAGCAATCGTTTAACCAATCACTTTGTACTGAGTAATGGATATGTAAGCTCGTAGTCTAAAAGTAAATTATATGAACTAGGAGTATCAGTGAGCAAATTAAGACCGCTCATTGTAGCTATGAAGGAGACTTGGTTAGTTCATGATTTGCCCGTTACTTCAGAATTTTCCGAATACCACTGCCTAAGAAATGATAGACGTAAGTGTAGGGAAGGAAGTGGCGTCCTTTTTTACATAGAAATATAAATATCCTCTCCTTTGCTTGCGAATCCCATGATAGTGCAAATTGTGAAGTCATTTGCTGTGAGCTGACCATCGGATGTTGCACATTTATAATCAATATCATCTATCGCAGCCCAATCTGCTTAGCGGATGACTTAAGTTTAGATCACATTCAGCTATGAAGTGCAAATAACAGATGTTTCATATAAAGAGACTAATGAATCTGATATTAGTTGGACTGAAATGGACACGAAAAGATCTATAAACTCCTTTGACAGCAGGTTCCTGATAACAATAATGGAGCATGCATTAGCGCAGCATATATCCAAACCCACACGTTTTAGTGCTAACCAAGGTTCTCCTCTGTTGGACTTGGTAATCACTCATGAGACTAGGGATATTGTCGACCTAAATATTCTTCCAACATTAGTGAACAGCGATCACGTTGTTTTGTCATTCACGTTTAGAACTAGGGTCATGTAATACGATCAGTTCACACCCCGCCCAAATGTATGGAAAGCTAACATATCAGCCATTCAGGAATGCGCTGCTAAGACAGACTGGTTTGTAGATACTAGCTTATCAGTTGAAGAAGCATGGTCTGTATTTAAAGGTAAGTTTAGTTAAGTTACGTTCTCGTTCATTTCAAAACTTGCACCGCGAAGACCGAATAACAGCCCATCATGGATAACGAAAACAGTCAGGAAACGTCTTAGAAAAAGGAAGAAGCACTGGAATATTTTCATCTTTACTGGCTTAGAACAAAACAGATCCAGTTGTTGTGAGATTAGGAATACCTGTAAAGCGTTAATAAGTAAGACTAGACTATCATACGAAAAGCAATTGGTTAGGGATTCTAGATATAGTTCGAAGCGGTTATTCTCGTATATAAAAAAGCGAACTCAGAGAAGCGATGGAATTCCATCACTTTCGATACAAGAAAATCGGTTAATCTTGGCAAAAAATGATGCCGAAAAGGCTGAAGCTTTATCGGAATATTGAAGTAAAGTATTTTCTATCGATAATGAGGAACGACTATCGATTAACTGTGTTTGTAGCTTGTTGATGAACCCTGTAGTTGTTGAGCAAGGTACTGTCTTAAGACTAATTCGACATCTGAAACCTGATAAGTCGAGTGTTCCTAATGATATTCATCCTAGGATTATGAAAGCCCTATCGAACGTAATTGCTAAACCTATAGCCATACTGTGGCAGTACAGACTACCAAAAGACTGGAAAGACGCAATACTTAGTCAATGGACTTCTTAAACAGTTTTATGTCGTAAATACTTAATGACACCACAATTTTTACACACAAGTATCGAGTTAGGATCTGTTGTGTGCTTCTCCAGGACACAATGTGAACGCGATGCCTTTTTAGAAACAGAATATAAAAACCGTACTAACGCATAAGCCCAAATAATTACACGTCAGTATATTCGCACCAATATACTGCTACTCATTTTTATTGACTTTATCTTTTTAACAACCTTGCTTGGGAAGCATGCTGACTGCAAATCAATGTTGAAGATTATTATTCATGCTCGTGAAAATGGCGTGTATCATGCTCTATTAGGAATTTTACGGCATTTACTGTAATAATTTACACAAGTAGGTTGAAATGTAATAGAACATGCTGATTATAGAGTCATGGGATAATATAAGGTACATATGAATATGATTGATGTTATCGTTAGTAATAAAATATAGCAGGCACATGCCATTTTTAGAGGCATGATCAATAATTTCTAACAAGGGTTTACAGATAAGATATTACTCAAGTAAGGTTAGTAAATAAACAAATTCTGAACTTTATGATAGAATATTCACGCCGATATGTAGCAACAGATAAGGAAACTGTCTAATGTTTTGATATATACTTAGACGTCCGAGGTTAAATATTTGACAGATCTACAGATAGGGATCGTCTAAAGTTTTAAAAAGCCATCGATACGATGTCATCAAACAGTTGAACAAACGTTTGCATCCTGATGTCCGAACAGCCATTAGTTACATCACAGAGAGATTTTATTACCGTGGTAGGGGTAAAGACGTGAAGAAGTAGGTACGCTTCTGTGTAAACTGTCAGAAATAAATGGTGGTTAGACACAAGGAATGTCCTTTGCGCTCTTCCAAAACTTCCGACGCTCATTTTGAACGTGTTCATCTTCATCTAGTAGGACTCTTATTAGATTTAAATGAACGTTTACACTTTAACGTGTACAGACCGTTTCACAGATGGCCTTAAGCAGTATCCACCAAAGGAAATTACCACTGACACAGTGGCAGGCGTCTTTCTCCGATGATGAGCAGTAAAGTTTTGTTCCTCTTCACTAAAAACCGTGGACGCTGGTTCCAATATATATATATATGATTCATCGATGCCTTTCTTAGTTTTACTTTGTACCTAATCATTGCATCGGCCTCTTTATTCAAGTACATTACATTTACGTTTTCTTGTTACTGGCAGTCGTCATGTTAGTATAGTGCCTACAAATTCGGTTGTTGCCATGTGAACTGATTGTTTGTTTTTAAGTACATAAATTCCGTTTTAAGGGAACGTTGGTTGTAGAATCAGACAGTACATCATATTTCATGCCTATTTATTGACGAAATAAGAAAGTATTCTCTGTTTTAATTTCCTGACTCTACCAGCAAACAGTGATAAAATTGTTGTTTCACTAACATTCAGAATTGAATGAACAGTTGATAGGCAGCTTATCATCTGTTAATAGATCGTAAGGCTGACAAACTATCCGCCTCTGTAAAGGCTTGTGTTGTCTGGTTATACATCGATCAGCGCTTAGTCTTTAGCTTGCTAATAATTGAAGAGAAATGCTTTCATAACGTCGTTATTCAATACATCACAATGCCCGAATTCAATGACGAATCCTGAACTTTGTCGCTCGTGCTGTTTGGCAAGACTAAACTGGCGTTACAAAAGTTTGTAGTTCGAAATAGGGTTTGACTCGTGACTAAGATAATTTAAGAAATAAAAAAATAGTTCAAGCGTCTGTAAAACTAGTTAAGGTAGCCGACTGAATATTTTAGTATATTTAATTTATAATAGAGGAAAGTTAATAAAGTTGGGTCCAACTAGTAAACACAAAAACGCATGCAAGAAAATACCTAATGGTACCTGGTTTTAGGAGTAATTATAATTAATATAATCTAGAAAAATCCATAATTATCTTAATAAAAATTGACAAATTCGTAATAAGTTAGGAGAAAATTCAACTATTTTTTGGATAATTTGTAGGCGTTTTACATTTTGAAGTTACCAGTCGTGTCAGAGCCTTGGTCTGCTACCGATTAACACGAAGGTGGATAGGTGTTCCAGTAATATGGCATTAACAATTATACATATAATAGCTTCCAAAGCAGTGAGTGGGATGGCCCAGCCTTGCAGCTCATCACTACAGAGCGACATAGTAAGAGGGGTGGTGATCATCATGAAATGCAAACACTATTATTGTTAGAATGTCTTAGCTATAATCCAATAGAAATCAACCAAAAGGGTAGAATTCAGTTTCAGTTTCAGTTTCAGTTTGGGAAGGACAGGAGGCTCGATGGCCTATGTTAGTCCTGGCAATGATGGTCTCTCAGTTGATCCAACTTTCTTTTGAAAAAGTCGACGGATGGAGCCTCAACCACGTGCTGAGGTAGTGAATTCCACTCATTGATGATTCGATGGGAAAGTCGATAGTCAGCTGACAAGTAATTTGTTCTCGGCTTATGAACTTTTTTGGAGTGTCCTCGTAAATTCTCTGTTTTGGAAGACAAGAAAAATGAGGGCATGTTAGGTACAAATTTATCACTAAGCAATTTGTAGACTGTAATCAAGTCGCCTCTAGTTCTGCGATATGACAACGGGAAAAGGTTCAGCTTGGCCAGTCGAGATTCATACGGAAGCTTCGCTATTCCGGGAACCAGCTTAGTCGCCGTTCTCTGAACCTTTTGCAGAAGCTCACTGTCTTTTTTAAAGCAGGGGCTAGCCGCTTGTATGCAGTACTCAAGTTTAGGACGAACGAACACTGTATACAAAGTCAAAAACGTCTTAGCGTCGACATGACTAAAAGCTCTACGTATTGACCATAACGTTCTAAAACCTTTGGCGGCTATTGCACGGCAGTGTACAGTAGTCTTTAAGTCTTGACTAACGATAACTCCTAAGTCATTATATGTCTGGACGACAGGTAGCTCAGTGTTATTCCTCGTATATGTATCTGTGCCTTGATGACCGATATGCATCACAACGCACTTGGAAGTATTTATCGGCAACTGCCATGTTTGAGACCATTCAGATAATTTCTTCAGGTCATTTTGGAGTTCTAAGCTATCACCCTTACATCGTATCGTTCTCCATATCTTGACATCGTCTGCATATAACAAGACCGATGATGATAGGAGACGAGGAAGGTCATTTACATACAAGAGGAATAGCACTGGCCCCAAAACTGTACCCTGGGGCACTCCACTAAGCACAGTTTCCCAGCTAGCTACTATGATCAAAATGTACGGTATTAGTGAACATGCAAGTGTTTTTTCAGACATCTATAGGCTATATATGCACTTGTTACTTCAAAAAACAAACTACGATAAAATGTGTTTTATCGTCTCACAGAAAGGGAACTTTTCAAGGCCACCCATTTTCCTGTCGTCTGTTATCCGCGCACTAATGAAGGCGTTGATACTAATCGGCGGTTATGGCACTAGATTACGTCCCTTAACACTTAGTATTCCCAAACCACTAGTCGAATTCGCAAACAAACCAATGTTACTACATCAAATCAAAGCTTTACTTGAAGTATTAGTAAAATAGACTATATTCTGTTTTAATCATAGGTTGACATTACTGAAATTATCCTTGCAATCAACCGTGAAGCTGAAGTTTTGGAATCGAGTATAAGAGAAAGTTGTGATAAAGTAAGCGTCAATCACTGTGCACTTGTATTTGTAAGGTAATTCAAAACACCAGTGTAAAAATTGTATTTTCTTACGAAAAAGAAGCACTGGACACAGGTAATGTGCCTTTCATTCCTTTTATTCTGATTATTATAGGAGGTCCACTTGCACAGGCGGCGCCATTTTTAGCAGGAGAAAGGTTTTTTGTTCTAAACAGCGATATCATTTGTAATTATCCTTTCAAACGAATGCTAGAATTCCACTTATCTCATGGAAAAGAGGGTACAATGGCAGTAAATGTGTTTCTATTAGTTTCAAATACCTAGGTCACAAAAGTTGAAGAGCCGTCAAAGTATGGTGCTGTGGTGCACAATGATCAAACAGGTCTTGTAAAACGTTTTGTCGAAAAACCATCGGAATATGTCGCTAACAGAATTAACGCTGGACTCTACATTTTTGAGCCTACCATTCTCAAGCGTATTGAGGTGACATTATTTGCAAATTCCGTTATTTACAGGCCAAGCCGATGTCCATTGAAACAGCTGTTTTCCCAGCAATGGTGAGGGATTCTGAACTGTACTGCATTGAGTTCTCAGGTAAGTAGTGGTTTCCTGAAGACTTTACCAGTATGATATCATTTCACACTACAAATCCATGTGTTGTTCACTCCGTCACTCTCAACGTACGATCTGATACATATGTGCGTTAGTTCAAGTTGTTCCACTACATTTTCATAGCAAGAAAATATTGTCAAGGTAGACCTTGGACTAAATCTCAGACCAGAGTACAACTTTCACTTTGACTACTGTTCTTAGAACAATCTTTTGTTCAAACTTTTTGATGAAGAATTTATATAACTACCAGCACCTGATTAGACAAATGTCTCATAACTGTCAACCGAATTTGTTCGAATATGAGTGAAGGTTTTTAAGCACCTTGTTTTTTGAGAAATTCATTAATATTCTGCTTTTACAGTGTTATATCAGTCACTTATACCTTGATGTTAGTTAGCGCGATTTGAAAACGTTCAGATACTATTTAACACGTTTTTAATGTTCTGTTGTTATAAGTGTATGCATTTTGAGAATAATATTACAAGTTTTATGCGTTTCTCCGAACTATCGTAGGTGTAAGTGTGACTCATACATTTTCGGAACATAGTGTTTCACTTGTTATGAAATGTATTAGGTGTCAAAGACACGAAGCCATGGTACCACTGGTGATTAGCAACTTTCAGGTTGAAACATTAAGAACTGCAACACATATTGGCTGAAATTCCCAAACTTTAAAATCATCCTCAGAGAGACAAATGATCCCTCTGATTTGCATTTTTGGAGCATTGTACTCAAAACTGTCAGCTAGTAATGATCAAACATTGTGAATGATTTTTATAATTCTTGATCTATAAGTTGCAACGTCTTTGTTTTCAAGTTTAACGGAAAGGTAACTGAAGGTAATGTCGGATGCTCTAGTTATGTAACGGTTTCAAATAAGCTTATCTGGAAAGCCGTGGTAGACTCGAAAAACACCAACTCTGCTCAACGTCAAGTCACTAAATTAGTACTTCTAGAATTCGTGTTAATACTTCGGTTGGCGATACCGAATAATATCATTAGCCGGCACACAAAGTGAGGATCACAGCGGAATATGAGAACCTGTAACTGTTTATTGTACTTTTGCCACTTCACTTAAATGAATTAAAGTTCACAACGCTTTTCAAGTTAGTCGGTAAAATTTTATGACAGAAACGAGGACTTAAAATTAGATTAAGGGGCATGTACAGCAGAGGTTTAATAACGTAGTGATTTTAGACGCACTAATTTTTCTATGAATGTTTTTACTCTCAACTAATTTTCCAGGTACAAATTAGTTTAACTAACTTTTGGCAGTTGATACTAGCAATAACAGCGTTAGGTAGGTTGAAGTTTGAACCTGGGCTGTACTGGCTGAGAGTCGAACTCTTTAGTAACTGAGCTATTACTCCTATGTTATGCAAATACTTCCAGATACTTAGAATGTTGTTAGTAAACCACTTGAATTCATACACCACAGTAGAGTCATAAAACAGTATTAAATAATGAGGCACATATACTATATAAAATTTCCTAATATCGTTATCTTGTAAGCAGTTTTACCTTTTTTGGTCTTACCATTTGTGACCACTGGAAACATTTTGTTGAAGCCGGTTTCGAAAGTTTTAGTTGAGACTCATCAGATGAATTTATGTGGCTTTATTTAATAATGTCATATTTTCTGCACGTAAATACGACATTTACAATAAATGCTTTGTCATGGACTTTAAAATTATTTATTCAGCTATCCAAAATGCTAACCATGGGTACATCTGCATCTAAAGATTTAACCAATATCATTTTAAGGTATCAATAGTTATACCACAGAAATGATAGAAACGTAAATTCTTGAGGTCTGTGTCAGGTGTTTTGTGATTTGCAGGGAATATATCTGCTTTTCAGCAGATCTAGGTCTTAACAAACAAAGTAAGTATTCAGTAGCTAGTTATGTAGAAAAGCTAGTGATTAAAATATAGTATACGTCTTGCATTCTAAGTTATCTACTTTTCAAATAATAGTGATAAAATGCTTTCTAATATTGTTTATTTTTCGACACCTAAGCAATATTCGGATTGAGGTGAATAATATGTAAGATATGCATTTAGTATCATGACATGTTACTTTTGGAACATGTGTACCCTGTTCTTATGGTGTTTTGTTTCAGTAACTAAGGCAGATGGTTTGAGTTTTATTAGATACATGATGCCTTGTACAGACAGTCCATCTGAATTGTCTTCATTTCTGTGAATATAAAAGCCAAATATCAATGTCTGATATGACGGTAATTATTTTTATACTGCCCGTTGTGATGTTTATAATGTTTGTTCGCACAAAATATATGTTTTGGTACTTCATGAGTAAAGTATTTATATATAATACTTTGTTAGTCGTATGCATCTTACATGAACTTGGCGGGTGGTTGGAAATCATAATTCGTAAAGCTGATTTCGATTATCAAGTGATATCATACCAAGCATTTTGTCAAATTGTTAGTTCTTTGTGTTTGAATATCACACTGATCGTTATTTAGTTTGGATTAGATCATTTTAATAGGATATACGATCACCATATTTAACTCACTTGAATTTACCATAAAATAAACCTAATCACTAAATCAAGCCTGTGGTATAATTACAGTTTATACTAGATTACATTATTCTATTGTCACTGCTGCACGTGGTTACAATGTTTTTAAAATTTCCAATCTACATTTTTATAATTAACCTGAATATTCAAAGTCTACAAAACAGATTATTGTCAACTGTTATGATATAAATATTAATTATCCTTTGCCTAATCATTTTTGAAAATGTTTACTTTAATGCTTTAATATAAATAATTTTCTACTGAATTCACTCGGCTATTTGCTTTCACATAAGGATTTTGGATGGATATTGGTCAACCTGCAGATTATCTAACGGGCATGCGATTATATTTGGGCCATTTATATGAATGTAAATCACCTTTGTTAACAGTTGATCCGAATTTGATAGGAAATGTTCTTGTCGTGAGTTTTTATTTACGTTTAATAAACATTTCATTTACATGTGGATATAATTGGTTTTTCCACTCAAAAGACTGTCATATGCAAATCATATAAAGAGAGTTCCTATTTTTCTTGATTGAGATGTGTATAGATTTTGAGAACATTTCGGGATAGCTTTTTCATTAGAGGAAATAACATGAACACGTTTAGATCACAGATCAATCATTGGTGTTTTATAAAACCTAGACGTGTGTGAAGGAACCCAGTAGTATCTTTCGTTTTTACAGTGTATAGGTGACAACTCTACCTCCAAAAAACACTAAGAGGTTACTGAACCGAATTATTTATTTATCAGAATTAATATATTTAATATTTAGCTAGAACACAACCTTAAATAAAGTCCAAAGACAACTTATTCCTTTGATTCTTAAAATCCATTCGCAGTTATGTTAGATTCGATTAGCTCAGTACCTACGTGTTTGATTGTAAAGCTAGGTGACAGAACCAAAGCCGTCAGGGATCACCAGTTCCCAACAATACTACTGTTATGTCTGCAGGGTTTCCAGTCAACCAACCACTTTACATCTCATAATGAATTTTTTTTACTTGGAAATTTATTCGAACACATATAGTCGACATCCTTTCTTTATACATGTGCATGGGATTCATCTTTAATATGAGCATTTACTTGAACAGAGGAATAAAAACTAGATACAGCTAGTCTTAATTTTTTTCAAATATGTGTCATGACGTGTTAATTAACTGGAGTTATTTACAGCGAACGTCCAGTATGAACAAATGCTCTTCGCTTTAACTGGTTGTACGTCAAATCCCTTTACCTTTGATTCATCAAACACTGAGTAACTGCCATTCGTCCTGTCTTTGGACTTAATTTATGCGATAATGTTGTAGTATTATATACTGTATGATTGAATAAAATCTTTGGTACCCGTATCGACTCCTTATGAAACTCAAGAGACTTATGTTATCTCTTTGATAAAAGAATTGATCCAATCCAATTTGAAATGGTTAGGATTATCCCCTTGTTAATATTTTGACTGGAATTCGATCAGTTTTGGCTAGGATATGTGCATCCTCTGTAGATTGCCTCGACAAAGTCATCATGACACAAGTTAATATAGAATAAATGTGATATGGCAAGGAGTAAAATTCAGAACGCGCGTTCTATCCAATATGGAACTCGTCGTCTAGACGCACCTGGATCCCAGAGTTGATGTTCACTCCCAAACTTGAACCCCGTAACGTCCGCTCCAGCCAAGAATGACCAAATTCCAGTTAAAAGATCAACAACTGGATAGTCCAAACCGTTTCATGTTGAACTAAAACACATCCATTGCATAAATGATCAACTTAGTAGCTACGTAAATCACATTATGGGGTTTCAAGAGAACGGCACTGGGTTCAATTTCCAGGGTAAATATCAACTCTGGGATCCAGGTACATCTAGCTGACGGTCCTCATACAGGACAAAGTATACGTCCTGAATTCCAATGCTAGCCAAAGTCCATCTTTTCTAAATTAATCCAAGTTTTTCCAATCTCTATGTACACATGTATTTGCATTTGCAAATTATTCGATTGCAACTGTCATTGTTTTTATATGGGCATATGTATGCGTGTGTTTAGTTATCACTTAATATATTCGTTCGCTGTTTAGTCACATTTAATAAAATGAAGTAGGTTGGGAAGCCTTCCTTCTGGATTCATCTTTTAAAGCCTTTCTGAATAAATGAATACCCGAAATAAATTCTTCCAACTCAATTTGTACTTGGCTTTTGTTACCGCTGTTGACCAAGAGGGTTAGCCTAACGTAGAATTTATATTTCACGGTTCATTCATAATCGTTCATAGTGGAGTCAGTGTGTTGCCATGAATCGACTTTATTATTCACATTCTCTTTTTCTAATATTCATTCAAGATTCTACGGTGAAAGGAAACGAAAATACCCATAGAAACTCTAAAGAATTTTACTTGTTCAATACAATTATCTTTCTTAGCTAAGCTTTTATGACCATTGTTTAGTCGTAAAATGCTACAATATTTTATCATTTGTATTTGCATAATATGAACAATCGGGATTTAAAACTAAAAAGTATAGAAATAGATACAGTCTGTATAAAAGAACATCATGGATAAGAAGTTGAAAATCAAAGTCGTATTCTTTTCCAGTGGTTTGTTCGTGAAATCTTTACCATGGATAACTAATGTATTTCTGATGCGGAATCATACCCGTTTCAAAGAACTACTCAGCTTCACATTCATGTATAACTCGTTTTGATGATATTTTCTCAGTCGAAGGTGAAATGTCAACTGACAAACTATGCGAATAATAAAACACCAGGTCACCTGAAACATAAGTTTGATTAACAATTTTTAAGTGTTAAAACTTTTGAGGACAGTTATTCAGGAATATGATTTTTATCTAGTCATTCGTAACATCTTCGTAGATAATCTAAATATTAAAATGTCACGCGCGTTATCTTCTCTAGGGAAATATTAAAACATGTTGAAAGTTTACAGTATGTACTTAAGTATCATAAAAAAAGTAACTTTGATTTTTATCTAAATACTTTATGGAAGTATTTCCACATGGTAATTCTTGGTCAGTTATCAAGCTGGGCTATATATACACTGAAGAGTGGAGTAACTGTTCATCATCAATGTCTGGTGTTTTTCAAAAGAGTAGAACACCACTGAATGTTTTTTGTCTTGTTGATTTGATAAAATTCGGTTAATATGCTCCTCTTTTCTCACTTCTTTTTTTGAAAATCAAACTTTATTTAGCATGAAACTGCAAAAATAGGTCACGGTTGTCGAATAGGCCCTAATGTGACCATCGGTGCAGGTGTCATAATTGAAGATGGAGTACGTATATCTAACTCAGCTATCTTTTCAAAATCAATCATTAAATCTCATTCTTGGTTAAATAATTGTATTGTTGGCTGGAGATCAGTTGTTGGAAAATGGGTAGGTTAATTTGATTGCAGAAGTATTCTTTCCATATTAGTTTAATTGAGAAATGTCCTCGTTAATCTACAAACCAGTTAAATTATCAATCAGTTGTAAATATCTCAGATTTACAGCAGGCCAATCGTGACCCGACTGGCTCAGTAATAACGTCTCAATCTGCAAAACTGGGTGATGAAGGTTTAAATCTCATAGGGAACGTAAGTTCCATCAATACTCCAGATGGGGGTTTCCGACTAGTGACCGACTACCACAAAACCTAAGTCTAGGGTATCCTGACGACTATCTCCATCCACCTAACATAACTATGAAATTTTCTTGCCAATGATTAGTGTTAACATGTATATTTGTGCTCAGTACCATTACGTTGTGAAAACTTTTGTTTAAAGCACTTCATGTACAAAATTCGATATGGTTCTTTCTTTGTTTGTTTTTCATACTTTTATAAAAACTAAAAGTGGTTTTGTGACCACTGATCACTGTTTTCCTTAATTAAGTTTGATTTTGAATCAGCATCCTAAATTTAGATATTCAGGAGATATCATTTTATATATTTATTGGAGTAAAGCTCAGTATGAAATGGGAGCATAGATTTATGTCTAGTTAATTGATTCGTACTTCACTGAGGAAATTTACACATTTAGTAAATTTCATTAAACTTTTCGACAGTAACACTTAAAATTTAATAAGGAATAGATAAGTTACATGCTTTTCATTTAATTATCTGCATTTAAATTCGTTGACTCGGCTTTCAACTAGTTGGTTACTGATTCAAATTAATTATGAATGGATCAGTTTGAAATACCGTATTACTCTTGTTTCTTTGCGTTTATACTTTTCTTTGCCTCGTTTTCTAGTTTTTCTCTACCAGTGGTGTTTTCCTATTATTGGTTTTATATTATTGTATCGTACTGTGAAGTATGAGTGAACAGACCATATTTTCCGTTTTGTGATATTTAAAATTATCTGTCTATCTATGTGGAACAGGGATATTTCGAAATTCGAGGAGATTATCATACTAATCATATGAAAATTATCTACACTTTTCTATGATATATTGGTGATAATCCTCAAATTTTCAGTTTGCAGTCAGTCAGTTATGAGCAATGTCAAAGACAGTACATTTATGTATTATCGCAAGTCTGTATACTATAATATCACGTCCGAACGGAATTAACATAATGAAATAGTAAAGGAATCGAAGTAACTGATAGTAGTAGAAAAGATTAAACATTAAGAATATCGTTCGAGAAGAAAGAGTGAAAAAGTAAATATGAATGGATATTAGAGCTCAAGATCTAGATTAAGATATAGAATGAGTGGATCAGCACCACTAAATCTTATTCTGAGATGTACCAGCCAAAGTCTCCAACTATCCGTCATGATAATTACACAGACGCCAATCAAATGGTCTCAACCCATCAACATGGCTCGGATTAACAGTTCATCATTTCACTAAATGATCCCACATCATAATTTGCCCTCATGTAGAGTTCGTTTGCATTTTTAGTTTTTCAAAAAAACTTACAGGATCTATCATTTACTGGATAATGAATAAATGTAATTGGCTTAATCATTTCAGAATCGTCACATCAAGATAACTACTCTAAAAAGAAACAACATAAATGTTTCCAGACACAGTAATTTCATTATACTAACTTTCAAAATAAATCATGTAAAAGGTCAACATGTGACTAATCACTATGACAGTATCGAACTTTTTAGTGTACTTTTAATAAGAAAGATTGTTCAACTTCAGACTAAATATCAGTGATACTTCAGTAGTTCGTATTCAGTATTTTGGTAACAACTATGACCTATACTCACATTTTTGTAACCAAATAATTAAACTTTATTAGATTTTTATATTACGTTACTCTCTCGATGATTATCTAATTATGGAATGAAGTCTATGCTTGATCATTGGGTTCATTGCATAATATTACTAGTCAAATTTCTCAAACTGTAGGACACTATGTTTTTTCCAGTTGAAAAGAATTATTATTTTTTAGACAAAGCTAATAGATCAGTCAGCCACAAACAACATATGACCTCAAACAGATATGGACTAGCACAATTTACTACAATTCCTATTAGAATATCTCGTGGGAATCAACAATTTAAATGAAGAAAAAGTTAGAAAAGTAATTCCAAAGGTAGCAGAGAAACTACTCTTACCAAAGATATGTTGGGAAACAAATTATCAAATTTGAGAGGGAAAGGTATAAAATAATATTAAAGAAACAATTTGAACAGGAAAACAATGAATGACTGCTTCTATTTTGGCCTGTATGGTCCAAAGTTTCCAACCACTGATTAAAATTCTTGAATTGTTCTAAATCAGAGAGTTTACATCTTTCAATATACAGATCAGACTAACCATTAGATACCCGGTTGATTAATCCCATATGTTATTTAAGTCACCCTAACTGTTTTCCAATCTACTCGTTACTACTGAACGATACTGTATATGGAGTTTTTTTGGTGGTTGAATATAGTGTAATTCAAGTATCAACCACTTCAGTCTGTAAATGTTCACAACCTTATCAATCAGTTGACTATATATACCCAGCATGTTCTCCGCCTAACTCTCAAAGTGCCCATCTGATATCCCCACTGTACATGGGCAGTAATCATCGATTAATAATGAATTTGATATACAATACCTTTTTTAAATAAACCTAACATATCAGGATCAAAGATATGTATATTTATTAAGGCTGAGTGATCGTTCTATCATTTTGATAAATTATTGTTCACAGTATTGTTTGTATCTTATCTCTCTGTTTATATAATTAAAATATCAGTTAAAAATTATACTTCGAATATCAGCTAGCAGTTTAATCAAAGACATGCTTGTCATCCTATTTTGGGATTTATCAACTAGGTGCATTTTTATTCAATCCCATTTACTAACAGACTAATTAAACATAATTCTCCAATATAAGCAGTGAAAAACTTAAAACCCTTCTATGAATAAAACATTAAATATCATATAGTTTTTCACCATAATACTGTTTTGTACAAATTTCTTTACAAAAGTTTGCCAAAACTAATGTGATACTAATACTCAAAATATTTTATTCATTAACGTTCTAGAGGTAATTTATTCTACTAATATATTTAATGTATTTTCAGCCTGAAATAAAATATATCATTCGTGTATATAAATGCATTTGTCAAACGAGATTAGTAATTGTCACTTTTGTTATCGACAATTGAAATATTGACATGTAATTCTTGTCTTTAAACAAGGTTCACGTCTTTTCTTCAACAACTATCGGGAGATTAGTCTACTTCCGATTGCATTCAAACTATTGGCTTCTGTCATACTTCGTAGGTTGTTCAAAACTCGAGAAAGATTGACTCGCGAGGAGCAGACTGGTTTTAACTCTGGTCGCGGATGTATTGATCATATCTTCACCCTCCGCCAAGTGTTAGAACACCGTCATACTTATCAAAGGCCAACAATCGCAGTGTATCTTGACATCAGGGCTGTGTTCGATTCGTTGGACAGGACTGTTCTGTGGGATTGTCTATTGTAAAAGGATGTGTCTGTGAAGTTTATCAACATTTTGAAAGCACTATATACTAACACCTCAGGCAGAGTGAGGGCATACAACCACCTCTCTCCACTGTTCCATTCAAGCAATGAGGTTAGCCAGTGTTGCTTAATCTCACTATTCCTCTCCAACTTCACCATCAACGACGTTCTGGAAACAGCTTTGATAGATATTGGTAATGGTGATGCGAATCTGTTGCCTGGAGAGAGACATTCCGGCCTCGAGTATGCGGATGATATTGTCTTACTGTGCGACGATACCCAAGCTATTCAATCCACAATTAATCAGTTGACAATCAACGTTCGAAGTACGGTATAGTCTACACCCTCAAAGTGCAAAGTGCCTCTACAAGACTGTCAGGACCCTGAACCTGCACTCACCCTGGATAGTGAGCAGATAGAAGTAGTTGAGAAGTTCTTGCATCGAGGTAGTTGTGTAAGTGCTAGTGGTGGCGTGAAAGATAAGGTCGATTCACGTATGGTGAAATCCAGAGCGACTTATGCCAATCTGGGCCATCTTTGGCGCCTTCGTGATGTGAGTCTGGCTGTAAAAGTTTGAATCTACAACGCATCGGTGAGAGCAGTCCTGCTCTATGCTTGTGAAACCTGGCATCTCAGAGTTGAGGATGTTAGACGACTCTTTGTGTTTGATCACCGTTGTCGCCGAAGGACTGCTGAAATTTAGTGGCAACACCATGTTAGTAATGTAGAGGTTCGGCATCGTGTGTTCGGGCTCAGAGACGATAATCCAATTGGTGTCACTATCTTGAAACATCGAATTCGGTGGCTTGGATATGTTCTCCGAATGTCGTCCCAGATAATTCCACGTCGTGCATTATTTTCCGATTCTGGGACTGGTTGGAAGAAGCGAAGAGGTGGTCAGTGTATGAAATGGTGTCGTGATATGAAAGAAAGGTGTACAGGACTGGATTCTGTTGATCCTTCACGACTCTATGGCTGGGGTCCGAGAGATGGTGCAACACAGTGGCTGGAGACGTTTTCAGATATGGCTCAGAATAGAGGCCAATGGAGATCCCTTTGTGACTTTCCTTTATTTCCTTTATAAAATTGAACGTAACTTCTTTAGGTGGAAGAATTCTTCCTGGGTGTATTTTTTCTAAATGAACTGTTTATTATTATTATTTCACCTTCATACACTTATTTCTGTTCCAGTTCTTATTCCTCATTATACTCCTTTTACATTCTCTTTCTCTTCACAACTTCATTGTTATTATGTGGCACATATGTAACTGGTGGGCTCTTATATTAATGTTTGTGTTTTCAAATGAATAAACATTCAAATTAAGTAGTATATATTGAATATAAGAATAGGTGAATAACGTTATAAATGAATATTTTTATAGCCTATGAAATTTTAATTTTATTTTTGTTTTTTGTAGGTAAGAATGGAAAATGTTACAGTTCTAGGAGAAGATGTAACTGTGAAAGATGAACTCTTCCTTAATGGAGCACTTGTACTTCCTCATAATTCAATATCACAATCTGTTTCTGAACCACATATAATTATGTAATCTAATTTCTATTGTTTGTAGTAAATCTAGTATATTGTATAGGATCCTTGTAATTTTGTAAAACATTTTAATTTAGTTATCAGTTTTTGTGAATTTGTGAACACTTTTGAACAATGTCATGTACTAAAATATTTCCAAACATGTTACATTAGTTACAAGTTTATTTATTTTTATGAAATCTGGATCCATAGCTTTTAATATTCTAAGAATTTTTGAACCTCTTATTCCTTCATGGGCTGCTTCTTAATTTTCATTAATGTTTTTATGCTGTTTAGTTATTATTATTATTACTGATTTGGTGGGTGAGGAGTTTCTTTCTAATTTTATGTGAAATTTTTTAAGGAAAACCATAGAATTTAATTCATTTTGGTAACATTGATAAACAATCATAAATACGAAAGTTTGGTTTTATAATTTCATTTTATGAAATATTCATTGATATTCATTTTCGAATAAGTATTTTTGTTACAGTGTCATCTCTTCTTTTGATTATGTTCGAAACAAGAATCCATCAGATTTTTGTATGAGAAGATGGATCATTAACTTTTTATTCTTGTGATGGATAAAAATCAAGAACGTTGTTATTTGGTTTATTAACTTCTCCAAGTTGATTAGCTCTTCAATATGTTGTACTCTATGCTTCTCCTGATAGAGTACGTGGTTTCTATTAGGTTAAACATTAACACAAGGGGACTAAAAGTCAAACAGTATAAAATAATATCTCATGCATATTCCCATCTTACTTGTAGTAGACCAGAGTGTTTTACAGGCAATGAATGGAGGTTTGTCACTTGACGAAACGTAAGAGTTTGGTCACCCATAATCCAAATATGTAGAGAACTGGGTGGTTAAAGAATTTAGTCTTTGGTTGACTTGGAGGACCATGATATAGTTGTGGTTTAAAGTTTTCATCACAAATAGTCCCCATTCTTCAGGGGTTTCAATTAAATGCAATCTAAACACTTCATTCTTGCTCTGCTAGTCAATAGGTTTGAAGAACTGAATTAATTGTGCAGACTTTTCGATCATTCATAAACACACTTGTAAATCTTCGATGATGTATCATTAGTCAATCTGTTAGTTCTACGTTATTGAGTTGTTTTCTTTGCTTTTTTGTTAAATTATCGTAAACCTTTCACTCTATATTAAAATATCGATCGGACCAATCGAAGATGGTAGATTTGAAGCATTGTAATTCATTGTCAAAAACAGAGATGACATAGGTTTGACCAACCAAATATTTTAACTGACCATGTGTATCCCATTCATTTAGTCCTTTTTATTAATTTGCTAAACTGCCAATAAAGTGCATTAAGTAAAATAATAAGCATTGATCTCATTTCTCTGCGTTTTCATTAGAAGACTAAACACTAAACTGAACATGACATGTCTTTCATATAAACTGATTACTTTGCATGAAATAGCATATTCATTTTTTAGTAAACTCAACAGAAACTAATGTATTGTATTGTCCAGATCTATATCATTTTTCGTCTGTTGTTTCGTGACAAAGGTTTAACAAAAACTATCGCACTACTGAAATAACATTAAGTTCATCGACGTCATATTTACTATATCAAAATTTAATATGCTTATTATCCTAGATTACCATGGAGTATTTTCACAATTGCAAACATTCATACTTCAACCCGCACTCAAAAATGGGTCATTTAGCTGTGAAGTGACAGATCCTAACAATGAGCTATTCACAAAGTAACTGCTATTCTACTGGTATAGAATAATCAGGCGGCTTATTAACAGTTGATTTGAACTGTTTACTTTTCTATTCAATATTTAGCATTAACAATTATGTTTACTAAGTTCCAAATCTCTTCATAATCGTCAAACACATTTGAAAGTATATATAATCAACTATTAATGGGTTATAACTTCTTTAAAATCTATAGTCATTAATTCACAAGACAACGGAAAGAATACACAAAAAAATGCAAATGAACAAAGTCTTGCATTAAGTTTAGTTGGAGTTGATTGATAACTTAAAACCAGAACAAAATAGAAAACACTAAGTTTTGTTTGTTAACCGAGTTGTTTTAGTTGAGATCTCAAATCGATCTAATTTAGGAAACCATTGAAAATCCGAAAGGAAAGGATGGCCACTTCATCTTCAACACTGCGGATCTACCACCTCGCAAACAGAAACACAGTGATTTCAGTCACTTCATTTCAGCGTAATTACAAAGTTTTTGTCTAATAATTTGAAGAGATTGAATGCCATTAAAACGACCAATAATTGATTAAAATTAACCATTTTGTCTCACACAATTATTTCAATATTAACATTCTTTATTTCAGTCATATAAAAATGCGTTATCTCTAAATGATTATTAGTATGAGGGTTGTGGAGATTATTACGTTTTTGATTAGGATCATGAACCGATTGATGTTAGACCACCGTTGGAAACCTGGAAGCACTGACCGGCCGTTTCATCCTATTTTGAGACTCCTCAGCAGTGCGCATGTTAACATGTGCTCACTAGTGACTAGCTTCGTGAGGTAATTCTCAGATTTCTAGTGAGAATCCGTGACCAGTCGAGATAATCCGTGTCGCGTAGAGACAGTTATCTACCTCAGTACAATGGAAGATGGTCGTGCAATTTCGTGGATTGGTTGATGTTAGATACTAACATCATTGGATGCCGGCTCAGTGATCCGGTAGGTTAAGCGTTCGCGCTAGACTGAAGACCCTGGGTTCGAATCCTGCGAGCGGGATCGTGGATGAGCACTGCCGAGAAGTCTCACAACAGAACGAGGCGGCCGTCCAGTGCTTCCAGGTCTAACATCAATCGGTTCATGATCTCAATCTAAATGATTCGTTCCATCATTGTCTTCGTAATATCTCCAAATATATTTGATTCAAAGGAAAAAAAATTAAGATAAGAGTTATTCCATATGAGGTAAATGAAAAAATTCAGTTTATTTTATTTAAGATATTCGCGAGAATTCTTTCACGATAAATATTTAGTTTGTCGAAGTGGTTTATAGGTTCTTATTTGTTCAGTCCAACTCCTAATCAATTCACAATCATGTATAGAATATTGTATAGGGATAATAATCTGTTTACAATTCCATATATAATTATACATACTGAGATGATAGTCAATTATGTGTTCATATTATGATAAGTGATTTCAATCTATCAAACATAAAATGAAATATAACGTCTAAGTTTATTTAAATGTTGTTGAGCTATCACAATATAAAAGTCAAATAATATGAATATCAGCGCCTATGAAATTAAGCTGAACGAATAGATAATATTGTAGTGAAGGACAACACAGGTGAGGACAACCGAATTAGTAAAATAGAAAAACTATACTATAATAATTAATTTGCAAAATGTTCAACAATTGTCTCGAACTTCGTTGTTCTTGCATTTCCATACTAATTGCTTTCCATTCCCGCTCTTCCTTTTCTGATCTTCCCCATCATCTGCTGCCAGACATTACATTCCTGACTCGCGTCATATACTACTTATATCAATATAAGTAGCACGCATCACAATATCATGTAACTAATAGATATATTAAAATTTCAATTCTTAACAAGATTCGAGTTAATTACACTTTCTAACATAATGAATGATTGGCAAATCAAATATCTAAATATGAATTTGGAACAAAAACACTAGTGAAAGTATTTTGTTTTTGGATTTAATGTATGTTGAATAAATTCAAATGAAATACAACTATCTGTTTACTGTCAAATCTATAAGAGTGGCTTCAAAATTTTTGGTATCATCTTTCAAGATTTAACTTATGTGATATTGTACTGAATCGAAGTAATTAATCTTAAATCAATTTAATTTTTCATATAGATCATTCTTTTTAATAAACATGAGTTTTGTAAATCTTATTATTATTATTTTTAATTATGATAATTATTTTAGAATGATTGGACAAAGAAGCTTACCTATAACGTTGTTTGTAATAAGAGACTGTAATTCAAACTGACTGTTAACTCAACATCATTTTACATATTATAGTCAGTTATTATTTATAAATGTTATTATCTGTACTACTATGTAATAGTATTGTAGTACATGTATTCAGAGAAAGTGCTTTTGTATATTTCTTTATTTTCCCTTCAGGATTCCAAGTTAGCGCTTGCCTCATGATACAGTTTGATGATTTCCGTAATGTATGTCCTATCCGTTTGTAGCATCTTTTCCTAATTCCCTCCTCATCTGGAATTTGGTTTGTTCTCTTCCACAGTAGGCTGTTGCTGATGTTATCCGACCAACGGACATTCAGCATCTTGTGTAGATAATTGTTTATAAATACTTGTACATGCTTGATGATGGTTGTAGTAGTTCTCCAGGTTTCAGCTCCGTACAGTTGAACTATATTGACGTTCGTATTGAAGATTCTGACTTTTATGTTGACTGTCAGTTGTTTTAAGTTCCATATGTTGTTCGACTGTAGGAATGCTGTCCTTGCTTTGCCAACCCTCGCCTCTACGTCTATCAAATCCTCTACGTTTATCGGAGATGCCACCTAGATATGGGAAACTTTCCACCCCTTCCAGAGTTTCTCCATCAAGTGTGTTTGGGTTGGTGTTCGTCGTGTTGTATTTAAGGATCTTGATTTTTCCATTGCGTGTTGAGGCCTATCATGTATAGGCCTCTGCCACATTGGTTGTGTTCACTTGCATTTGTTCGCGTGTATAGAATAAAAGGACTAGGTCATCTGAGAAGTCAAAATCGTCTATTCGCATTCAAATGTCCAATTTATTGTGTGCCTCCCGTCAGATGTCGAGGTCTTCATAATTCAGTCAACCACCCGAAGAAAGAGGAAGCGGGAGAGTAAGCAGACTTGTCTGACCCTGGCCCTCACTTGGAATGAGCCTGTCAGCTGTCCTTCATGAACGAATTTGTAGTTTAGTCCGTCGTACAAATACCGCATGATGCTGACGATCTGAAGCTATGTCAGCTCCTCTCCTAGTTCTCACATCTTCCACTGACCTTCTGAATTCTTTACCGA